ATCACTCCACGGTGAGGAGGGATTTTAAGTGAGAAAAGATCCCTCTTGGTGATAGTAGTAAAGTTGATCTGCTCCCATCTTGAGGGGCCTCACATCTCTCCCCCCCTTGCTGGGCCCAGCTTCCCAGGGACCTCCCACTGGAGACCCGGGAGGGACCCGTGGGAGGCGAGTTCCGGGCGACAGAGGCAGATGCGGGTCCCGGGGCCGTTTCCATTTTAATTTTCTGCAGCGTGAGGGGAGCGTGTGGGCTTGCTGTGCGTGCTGATGTAGGCCACATGCAAAAAGCATGTCCCCGTGTCCCCGTGAGAGTCCAGAGGGAGGGAGGTGGGGAAGGCGAGGAGGGGTTGAAGCACAACTTCTAAGGCTCCTTTCAACTGCACCGCGCTGAGCCTCGGGCCAGGAGAAGGCTGAGTTATGTAAGAGCTGGCCGGGTGCCCACATCTGGCAATAGTCACCGTGTTTGGTGAGCAGGCCGCTCTCCCACGGCCAGCAGCTGATCTGTTCTGGAAAGAAGGCGGAGTCCATGAAAGCATCCACAGGACCCTGTGGCCACGTGGGGTCCCCCCGGGCTAGCAGGGAGGCGTCTGGCCATCTGGGCTCCCACCAGCCAGGTGAGGTATGTTGGGTGCTCCCTCTGAGGCCCCTCCAGGGCCATTCCAATCCTGGGCTCCTTCCTGCCTGAGCTGAAATTTACTTGCCTGATTTGGTGTCAGACTTTCTCCCAGCCTCTGACAGGATCACAGAGGAACTGAGACTCTCTCCTGTGTCTGTGACCTCATTTTTTCTGAGGGGACTATTCCCTGCCACCTCTCCACCTTCCACGACTGGTTGTCCCTGACAGCCGTGCCTGAGCCTGGCTCCTGTGCTAACTACCTTCTGCCTGTGCTGCTGGGCCAGACACCTGGTGCCCTGGACCCGGGGCCCAGGTGACAGGCACACTGTGCCCAGGTGGGCTTGGCACGCTGGGGGTTGCACCTTCCCAACATGTGCCACCTGGCCCAGTTTCTGCAGTGAGACCCACCAGCCAGCTGTGGTGGCGGCCGAGAGGCAGATGTGCATCCCCTCTCCAGGGAACTGACTGCAGATAGCGCTCTGGGGGCCACTTCATGCAAGTCACAGCCAGGCACTGCATGCTGGGACAGAGAGGGTTGCCACAGGCAGGAATGTGCCCACCGCCAGCCGCTCTGGTGCACACAGAGGCATGCGCTGTTGGGGACAGGGCCTGGGGCCCCTCCAGGGCTGGCCCTGAAGTAGCTGGTATGATCTAGACCTGTCACCAAGGCTCATTTGGCTCCTGCTAAATCAGCAGGGCTGGGATTGCGGCTCAGAGGCTCAGCTCCTCCAGGTCCTGGGGCACCTCTGTGCACAGGGGGCGACTCTCACGGCCGGCCAGCCTGCCATTTCCTTCTTCCCAGAGGGGCAGAGAGGAGGGTTGACAGAGCACAGAGACAGCTCTTGTTTTGACAGCTAATCTCAGACTTCCTGGCTGCACCCCTTAGCTGCTACTTCAAAAGACATCCTCTGCCCTGTGTCCTCTCTGCTGTCATTGTCTCCCATAGGAGTAGTTGGGAAATGTGACGGAAGTGCCACCTCTGTGGGCTGAAGCACACGGGACAGTTTTAATGGCCCAGGAAGAGGTTTTGCCCCAGCTGCAGGCCCATGCAGGTGAGCCCCACAGCCAGCCCACCTCAGGGACATGTAGGTTGGGTGTGGTCTGAATGTGCTCCAAAGCAAGACGTGGGCCTCAGTGTGATGATGTGGGACCTTCAAGAGGTGGGGCCTGGTGGCACTGGGGACACTGCCCTAGGAAGGGAGTAACACTGTGTCCTGGAGCAAGGAAGGAAACTTGTTTTAAATTAAGCCACCCATGTGCTTGGCATTGCTCTGCCCTGTTGTTACCCATCCAGGAGCCCCTGCTGGAGGTTGATCCAACAGGGCTAACAAATCTCTTTTCTTTGTAAAGTATGAAGCCTCCAGTATTTTGTTATAGCCACAGAAAATGAGAACGTCTGCCTAACACCGTCAGCTGGGCTGAAGGCAGAGGTAGGACTGCAAGAGGTGTTCTCTGCAAAACTGACCACTTCCCCATGTTTCTAGGATGCTGGATTTTAACAATTGATTTCTGTTTAACTTCGCACCTAGGAATCTTGGCATCTTAGCTACAGAAAAGCTCTGAGGGACAATTTGGTCAGGTCCAGGAGGAGCACAGCTGGCCATGTAGTGGGCTGAGCCAGTCTTCCTCGAGAAGCGCAGGGGCTGGGACTAGGGTGGGGTAGGAGGGTGGCATTAGGATACCAGCAAGGATTTAAGATCTTCTCGGGCTGGGGCTGGGGCTCAGTGGTAGGGCAGTTGCCTAGCACGTGCAGGGCCCTGGGTTCCATCCTCAGCGCCACATATAAAATAAATAAATAAAGGTATTGTGTCCAACTACTACTAAAAAGAAAAAGATCCTCTCTTCTGTTGGCTGCTGGTCTTACCTGGGCACTACTCCAGGAGTGGCACAGGGTGAGTCTTGTTTCCCTCCTACCTCCAGAGGGAAGAGAAACCATGTGCCGCCGTGCAGAGTCCAACCCCGGCGGGGTCTCCTCTATACGGGTGAACCACCAACCTACAGGGGAGTTGGCACAGACACAGCATCGAAGCAAAGAAACTAGAGCTCTGGCCTCCGAGTGAGCTGAGATTGGGCTGGACTCACGGCCCAATCCTCGGTAAAACCTTGAGCCTGAGTTTCCTTGTTTATAAAATGGACATCATAGTACTTAGTACCTATGAGGAAACTGACACAAAGCACAGCACTCGTTTAGTGCAGTGGTTGGCTAATAGTAAGTACCTGGTAAGCAGGGGTGAAGCTCTTAAGGGTAAGGTTATTAATGATGTTAGTATATTAATAACATGAACAAATATCTTTTCCAATATGGCCCTTAGGAAATACAAAAGAATCCGGTTAATTAGTCATCTAAAAGTCTGCCTCCTCTCCACTCAGTCACCCACTCCTGCAGAATCTTGGAAATGTGCCCGACCCACTGAAAGGGGGCCCCTGCGCAGAGAAGGCCAGGGACGTGGTGGTGGGAGGCTGGTGGTGTTGGAGGCTGGTGGTGTGGGAGGCTGGTGGTGGTGGGAGGCCGAGGCTCAGCATTTCACGGGCGTCTTCCAGATAAAGCACAAGGGCACTTGTGCCAAGGGCAGTGACTCCCGGAAGAGCACCTGCAAACTCAGAGACGGAGATGCTCCACCCGGGGTGACAGCTGGGCCTCTGGGGGTGTCCTTTGCAAGTGTGGGAAGGCGTCCCTCAGGGTAGTGGGAAGACAGTGCATCTGAGACCGGAGACGGAGCAGGGCGGCTCTCGGTGTCCTCACTAACCGACAACTGTGTCAGTGAGGTGTCCTCACGATGTCCGTGTGACCCACTGTTTGCAGCAGGTGAGAGGCTGTGATGGAAGGTGCCCAGTCAAAAAGCAGCGTCCAGCGCTCTGGCCCCAGCGTGGTCAGAGGCGGGAGAGGAGCACCTTCCTCCTCAGCTTGGGGATGTTGCGGTGCTTTGGTCCCACTGTGGTGAGGCTGTCTGGGTTCCTGGATGGGGGCTGCACCGTGGCTGGGACAGGAGGCGGCGCAGGCTCTGTCTCTCAGGTTTACTTAGCCCTGGTCTCTCCTCAGTGCTGCGGCCACACCTTGGCCATAGGGGCCCTACCCCTGTCCGATCTCCTCCTGGGGAATACGGGTCGGACATCCTCCTCCATAGCCAATTGCTTTTTGAAATATCTTTTCGTAGGTGCATTGTAATTCCTTGTCACAGTGGGATTCGCTGTTACATTTCAATAGACGCAGCAGGTGCAGTGATATCATTTGGTTAATACGCAATTGTGTGGCAGAGAGCAGGGGTGACATTTAGTGAGACAGGAGAGAATCCAGGTGTGGAGAAGGATGCACAGCTGCCTCGGGAAAGGCAGCATTGTCCGTCAAGGAAACCCTCCTCTCCCAACAAGGAGCCCCAGGACAACCACATTTCAACAGAACAGCCACAGCCCAAAGCTTGTGGAGCCAGGCCCCCAACTGTGCCGAAGGACAAGTGGAAATGGGGAGGGAGGTGGGCAATCGCCCTGCATCCTACATATCTGTCCAAATCAAGAGGAAGAATTAAAAAGGTCGGACCCCTTTGTCACCAGCCACAATGTAAAAACCCTTCAGTGCAGCCTGGGTCGGGATCCAGACAATGGCCGGTGGCATTATCTCCGCTCTCAGAGGCGGCTCAATCGACTGGAAAACCCAGTGCGGCCACCGCTGGGTTCTCATGGCTCCACAATAGAGCTTTCTTCCTGGCCTGCTGGACCCATAGAGATCTATTTCACTAATTAGTAAGTCTGAAGAAGGCCTGGGAAATGCTAGCAGAAAGTATTTTCCAAACAAAGCCATCAAATTGCCTTAAGTCCAGGCAAAGAAGTTGGACTAATTTGAGCTTTTCATCATTTGTACTTTTGTGAAGTGAGAAGGTATGGCAGGAACTGCCCATTATGCGGGCGTCCTTTCTTCCTCATTCTTTTAGTAACAGAGCCTCCTAGGACTTTTCTGGGTGCGTGGCCGCCGGAGAGAGACTACGTTTCCCAGCATCCTAAGGAGCTGGTGTGGCCAATAGGATGGGCTTGCATTTGAAATCGCACTCCCTAAAGGAACCTCTTGATGTCCACCCCCTTCCCTCCTTAGGGAATGGAGCTGGGCCACCAGGCTGGAGGTGATGCATAAGCCCAGGTCTGCCTCCCTCTGGGGCCTTGTGAACGTGGAGGGGCAACCCCTACCTGACTTTCACTCATCTCTCAGAAGCTTGGCCTTCCTTTCACTCTTGGATGTGGGCCACAGATCACTGCACCCTGGGCAGAGCCAGGGCCTCCCACCAGTACCGTGTGACCACGGGGCGCATCGCGGCTATGGCAAGTGTCCTGAAATGTCGCCGGCACACCTCATGCACGCCTTCAAAATCTCAATTGCTACACCTGCAGCAACACTTTGTTATTTAAGATGCTGGTAAAGGAGCACCTAGGATCCATCCCATCTGATCACCTGAAAAGTCAATCTCATTTCAATTCAGTTATTATACGTTTTAAGAATTATTATATTTTATTTAAAAATGTTGTTTTGAAATGGGATTCACAGCCTTTACAAGACCACTGAAGGGAACCGCAGGGTATGGGCTCAGGAGTGCGGGCATGCACACACGTGTGCCTGCGTGCACACACCCACACCCCCACACACACATACACTCACGTCGCTCAGGAGATGGGCCAGTAGGGGACAAGCCTGGGTCCTGAGGAACTTCGTGAGATTCCGATTCTGAAGACTAATAAAAGAGAAATTCAAACTGCTCTTTCGAGGAGTTTCTAATACAAGCATTAATCTCAGCCTCAGAAGTCTGGGCAATGTAGTTTTTGGCCTCTGAAGCTCTTCCGTTAGAACAGGGTTTGCATGAATCTTGAGAAGCTAAGGGTGGCTACTGGGATTGGTTTGCCCGCCACTGTCCACTCTTCCGTCTGCCTGGGGAGAGTACGGGAGAGCACAAGCACACTGAGCTACATTGCCACTGGGTCTTGCAACTAAGTGTTGGACGTGGGCTACAGCCCTGTGCTGCCAGGGTCTGGAACACAAGGAGGCGGGCTATTTTCTTACTGTTTGGCTGTTCAGCTACAGGCCCCTTCACGTCCCTCTGCTCCCCCGTTGTTGGCTTCCAGGGCAGCATCCCGGACCCCTGAGCATCTGTGGTGGACGCAGTGGAGTTCCGGAGGACCTTGGGCTGAGGCTGCACTGCTGTGTCCTGCCTGCCGTGTTCTGGGACCTCCCCAGCACCCAGCCACAATCAGCCCTCCAGCACCTGGGCTTCTGGTGTGTAAGTCCTTGCTTGAAAAACAAAGTATGCCTCTCTCTCTCTGAGTCTCTTCCTCCCTCCCACCCTCCCTCTCTCCCTCTGCCTCCCTCCTTCTGCCTCCCTCCCTCTCCCTCCCTCCCTCTCCCTCTCTCTCTCTCCCCCTCCCTCC